TCGAACTCACAGAGATCAGCCTGGCTCTGCCTCCCGAGTGATGGGATTAAAGGTGTGCACCACCACCACTGCCTGGCTTAACTGGGGCTTTCTTCAATCTTGCTGTATAGTTGAGGCAGTCTTGAACTCCTAGTCCTCCTGCTTCTGCCTCCCATGTGCTGGGATCATCAGCATATACCATGCCCCATGATTCCTGGTTTTGTATATAGAGTTTTTTTCTTTGCTGTTATTTTATTTCTTTAGGCACCCTGATATCTTTGCTTTAAAGAAATTATCTACAACCTACAGATCTACAGATTTATCTGTTGTCTTTCTTACTTGGTATTAATGAGTGTGATCTATATTTTTTTAAAAGTTCACGATTTTGTGTGTGTGTGTGTGTGTGTGTGTGTATGGTGCATGTGTGTTTATTCATGTGTGTAGGAAGGCCAGAGGTCAACAGGGGCCATACATTTTGTTCTCTTTGTGACAAAATCTCTTACTGGGACCTTGTGCTTGCCTATTAGAATTGGCTGGCTGGCCGGCAAGCTCCAGGGATCCATCCGTCTCTACTTTACTGACATGGGAATTAAAAGCACAAGTCATCGTGCCTGGCTGCTTCTGTGGGTATTGGTGTGGAACACAGGTTCCTGTGCTTGCATGGCAAATATGTTAGCAGCTGAGCCATCTCCCCAGCTTCTACATTGTCATGGTTCTTGTCATTTTAGGGAGCTGTTGCAGTTTGTAAAAGCAAATGATGATATTGCTCAGGAAATTGCTAACAGGTAAGCGCTATTTGTTTGTCCTTTCTTGTCCTCATCTGTCCTGAAGTTTTCCAAATATAGTTACATGATAATGTCCGTGCCTCGGCTTCATTACAAAGGTAATCCAGAGTTACAGCTGTCCTGAGGTAAATGCACACATCCACAAGTGCTCTGTGTTTATACAGATAGATTTCAGTCCTTTAAAGATTTTAAATTGTATGTATATTTGTGTCTGCCTGCGTGTGGGTATATGCATGTCAGTGCTGGTGCCCAGGAGGTCAGAGGCACAGGACTCCCTAGCACTGGAATTACAGGCAGTCATGAGCAAAAGCAGTACACTCTTAAGCACTGAACCCTCTCTCCAGGCCTTAGACTTCAGTCTTGGAGGAACGAAGACAAATACTTTTAGCTAGGCATGGTGACTCACACCTGTAATCCCAGCAATGGGGAGACTGAGCCAAGAGAATTGCTTTGAGTTCCAGGCCAGCCTGGGCTATGAAGTGAATTCTAGGCCAGCCTGAAGTAAAGAGTGCACAGTCTTAAAACTCCCAACCACACCAAGACAAAACAACAGCAACAAACTTAAGTGGTTAAAATGAATATTGGCTGGTAATAATGCTTCTTTTTAGAAACAAACATTCAGTGCTATTGCTGAATACATGCATATGGATGTGACAGTTATAGGGTTGGTTGTGAGGTGCAATTGAGTTAAATCAAATGCTCAGAACAAGGCTCATGATAAAGTAGCCTAACCATATGTGGGCTTGTTGTTAATAAAGCCTATGACTTAAAATACTCTTGTTAATCTTGTCTCTAGGGGAAGCCAGTTCATCAAAAACCATTTGCAGATGGATGACATCACCTGTTACTGGGAGAACCTCTTGACTGAATACTCCAAATTTCTGTCCTATAATGTAACAAAAAGGAAAGATTATTATCAGATCACTCCCAGACTTTTGAAAACTGAACTGTAGTAGTCATCAGAGGACTGGAATCCTGACAGTGGATCTGGGATGCTCTGTGGTGAAATACCATGAGTGTGACACCTGTATTTTGAACACCTTCGGTCAAACCAAACATCCAGTTTTCCTTATCATGTTATATCTGGAGGGACTCTTGAGAAAGATCTAAAATGTGTTTAATGAACAGAAATGAAACAGCTCAGCTCTTTGAAATCATGAAATAAGGATTTGGAACGACATTCTAACTTTCATTTTCTTAGGATCAATCACAGCTTGTGCCTCAGGTCATCTACATGTATCATCACTGTGAAATTGACTGGGTCCAGGCCCTTTGTCCTGTCATTTGGAGCAGACCATCCATCCTTCGGTGCAGTTCATATCTGCAACTCTGAAGTCATTCTAGGCTTGATGTCTGTTGCTTTATTTTAATGTAGAAATCCTCTGGGCTTTGAAAAGCCCCACGGTGATCATTTCCGGAAGCGTCTAAGGATGTAGTGGCTGCGCCGTGCGGCACTGTTGGAGTTCTCTTTTGTAGAGCCTAACTTCTTTGGCACTCAGGAGGCTTCTCTAATGCTTCAATTGCATGAGTAACTTTTGCAGGTGGATTTCAAGTGCCCATTTTGTGCCTTCGTGTCCTTTTTATTCTCTCTCTAAAAGAGAGAGATAAAGAGAGAAATTTCTTAATACATTTAGGAAGCAGTCTTGGTTAAAACAAAACAATGTCCCTGTAATACTAGCACTTCTGAAGTAGAGGCAGGAGGAGGAGTTCATGGCCACCCTCAGCTACACGAGAGTTCAAGGGCAGCCTGGCTACATGAGGTCCTGCCTTATAAACTCTAACTCACCTTTTGCACACCTTTGATTTTGCCTTCTTAAATTAGTAGCAGCAGGACCATCTCAATTTGCAGAGACCATAATCTTCATATGTGAACACATCATAAAGTGGCAGTTTATAGAGCATTTAATTTTCATTTTTTACTCCCATAGGGGATATTTTAGTGTAAATCATTATTGGAGTACTTCCTTATTCTGAGAAAGATATACAGACAGTTTATTTCAAGTTACAGCTCCAACATCACCTTTCTGAACCTCATTCTTGGCAGTTAGGGACTATTGTTACAATCTGCTCATGCCTGTATTATGTGCTATCTCACTGCGTTGTGGTTACTGGCTATTTCTTTCATTGTTCTGTAAGCTTATTGATGGTGAGAATGATGTTTCACTGCTCTTGATGTCTCCATTATCCAGCACAGTGCCTCACAGAATAATTACTGAAGAACTATTGGGGGGATGGGTGAGTAGGGGGTGGATTGATACATTTACTTGGCTTAACTAAATTCTATTTTTAAACTGCTCAGTTACTGGCTGAGGGGATGAGATGCATTGTAAGAAATGGATCAATACAGATCCTCACTTGCCCTCCCAAGTAGCAAGGGGTATCTTTGTTTTAAAAACAAGTTACTCAGATTTTATACTTACCTGTGTACCTCAGTGTAGATGATATGAGAATGACATGTAACACCATGGAAAGTGTATGCTTTTGAAAATAGTTTGTGTGCTCACACTTCTGAAGATTTTGTTATTATTCATACTAGCTCAGTCCCAAACTTACCATTTGCTCCTCAAAAAATTCATTCTCTCTACTGTGGAAAAGGTTACTGTTGTTTTCAATATAACCAAATATAGTATGTTTTCTAAGAGTTGTACTTGGTGAACCTGGCAAAAGGAACTGCTGACCTGAGAGAAAATTGACAACAGAAAAAGGTATTGGGTTTGATGAGCAGAATTCAGCCACACGGGCTGAGGATCAGGTGGTGGTTCCAAGCAGTGATGATTGAAATCTTTCACTGATGGTTACTCTGTTTGCAAGCTCATGTCCTGAGGATGAAAGAGTGGTGTGTGTTAAAGTGTGTTTTGATTACTTCTCACAACAACCTTGTGACTTTGACAGTATTGCTTTGTGACCCTTCAAAATAATCAGCACAGGAGAGGCAGAGTGCTTCCCTGTGGTACAAGAAGGTGAGCTCTGATAGCTTGGGAAATATGGAAGGCTGACGGAGTGAGAGAGTTGGAGAGAGATGAGATAGAGCAGGAAGGCTGAGCAGTAGCCAAAGTATCTTTTGGGGCTGGGATATAGCTGGGTGGTAGGGCACTTGCCTGGCATAGGTTCAATTCCCAGTACCACCTAGAACAACAAAATCAGTCTGCAGAGTTAGTGAAATCTATCAGTTATCATTTATGTCTGTAGGATTCAGGATCCTGGGGATGTTTGAGTTATATGTAAATGATTTTGTCAATGTCTGCCCAACCTCTGCCCCATCCCCATTCCAAGTCTACCCTGATTCCAGAATGACTCTAGTTCCAGTTCTGAGGATCAGTCCCAAGACCTCAAGAATGTCAGACAAATGCAAGCACTCAGTTTTTCCTACAGGTAAGCTAGACAGACAGCACATCCATTTGTTGGTCTTTCCAGCCTTAGGACCTTAATCTCAGTGCCCACCTCTGAAAAAAAAAAAGGACCAAGAAGGTGCAAGCGAGAGCCAGGAATTGGGATCTGACTTCTTCATTCAACAGATAATTACTTGAAGCAGGCAGATCTCTGAGGCTGAGGCCAACCTAGTCTATAGAGTGAGTTATAGGACAGCCAGGGCTCCACAGAGAAACCCTACCTTTTTTTGGGGGGGGGAGGTAATTACTTAACAGCTGCTTCATGGTAAACACTTGGTGATCCAGAAGTGCAGAAAGATGAGTATTCAGCTTCAGTCCTCTTGAGAGAGATCAGCAAACAGGAAATTACAACAATGCAGTGCTGTGTTCCATTTAAGGCACGTCTCTGGACCTTATCTGTAGAGATGTGCCACAGTCAGCTCCCCAAATCCTATTTACTATATATATCCATATGAAAGTCCATAGTTATTTATTCAATACTCCATGGAAGTGACTGTAGAGCACCAAACTGTATATCCAGTGTGTGCTTTCAAGTAACTAGAAAAGTAGGTAAAGTGGTCTGCAAAGAGAATATGAGATATGTGGTAACTGCCAAGGATTAAATATTACACAAACAAACCGGGAATATTTTACTTGGTGAACTTTTTAAAAAAAATTTGTGCCTTGGTGTTTTATTTTGTTAAAAAAAAAAAAAAAAAGGCAAGCCGGGCGGTGGTGGCGCTTGCCTTTAATCCCAGCACTCGGGAGGCAGAGGCAGGTGGATCTCTCGAGTTCGAGGCCAGCCTGGGCTACAAGAGTTTCAGAAAAGGCGCAAAGCTACACAGAGAAACCCTGTCTTAAAAAAACAAAAAACAAAAAAGGCGTGGGAGCTGGAGAGATGGCTCGAGTTAAATTCATTGGCAGCTCTTCCAGAGGTCCTGAGTTCAAGTCCCAGCAACCACATAGGCTCACGGCCATCTATAGTGGGATCTTATGCCATCTTGTGGCATGCAGGTGTATATGCAGATAGAGCACTATATACATTTTTTTAAAAATGTGTGTTCAAGAATACAGAATTGGATGTATGGTACTCTAGAGCTGGAGTACAAGAGGTTGTGATATGCCTGATGTAGGTGCTGGGAACCATGCTGTGGTCTTGTGACACCCGGGTTGGTTGGCCTCATGTATGGCCAAATCAGATCTTGCACTGATAACCCTCCTGCACCACTTCCTAAAGGCTGAAATTAGACGTGCGCCGCTTCATCCAGCGAGGGCATTCCCATGAAAACTCGACTTCGAAGCACATGTTCTTAGCAGAAGGTAACAGAAAGTAACAGTTCCAGTTATTAAACGATAAAAATTCTAGATCTTTTGCCTTCTCAGAGCAGTAAGCATACAAATACTTGTAGCAGAACCCACGATGTGAAAGAAAAAAAAACATGCCCACAGTTGATGCTTCCAAAAGCGTCCTCAAATCTTGGAACTATTCGGGTGCACCGTAATGTTCAGGGCAAGAGTGGACCTCTGCTCGGCCTGGGAATCTTCCGCCCCCGAGACAAGCTTGGTGCTGCACGGGCTTAGCTGAAACACATCGCCTGTCTCTTCCCGCACTGCATTTGCACTGAGTAAAGTACTGTCGCCTTCCTTCCATAGGGGCTTTCTGCATCTTCAGCGAGCGCCCTCCCTTAAGTCCGTGAGCACCTCAAGCTGAGCGGAGCGCGACCCAGGAGACCCGAGCTAACCGGGCACAAACCACTGAGGACCTCACTGAAAAGATAAACCGCCGCCACCTCACTTCCGGGGCACCACCGTCCCCCACCCCACCCTGAGCGGAAGGGCTTTCAGCCAGGGTTCCGCTGTCGCCCCGCCCGGCCGCGAGGGGCGGGACTTCCGGTCTCGTGTGTCTCTGTGCCTGCTGAAGTGAAGCCGGCCCGGGACCGGATGTGAGGTTCAAGTGTCCCCAATATATTCCCCCGGCTCCGCTCCGCTCTTCAGGTCACCCTCTCCCACGGTGCTCGCCGGCCCCGGGGGCAGGGGGATCTGTCCGCGGGTGGGAGGGCGCCATGGAGGCGCCGCCGCCCGCGCCCCGCAGCCTCCTTTGCCGGGCCTGGGGTCCTCTGCCCCGAGTCTTGGCTGCCGGTGCTGTGGCTGCGGATTCCCAGGGCTTTGTGGAGGATCGGGAGCTGCAGCCCTATGTCTCGGAACCCGGTTCCCCGGAATCCGGATGGGACCGCCTCCGGCAGCTGTTTGTCAAAGAGTAAACATGCCTCGGGGGTGTGGGGAGGGTTCCTCGGGGGTCGCCGCCACCCGGCGTGAGCCCCAGCCTGGGGTCCGAGTGACGCTCAAAGTTGTCTCTGCCCTGCTCGTGTAGTGTCCTTCCGTGGGTGGTTGACACGCTGGTGGTTTTGAGTCCGACTCCAAGTCACGCTCTTAAAACAGTATCGGACCCTAATTTTATATATTAGAAAGATTGGACCAATCCGGTAACTGTCATGTAGTAATCACTGGGAACTATATTTAGAAGTCCACACTAACAAGAGATTTATTATTTTATTTTTTGAGGCAGAGTCTACCTGTGTAGATCATGATAACACTTCTGCTTCCACCTCTCAGTTGCTGGGATTACAGGCATGCACTACCATGACCCACAGAGGATGGTCATTTTGGCCAGTATTATAAATTGCAGAATACTGGCACTAAAAGAAACTTGAAAAATAATCTAATGCAATTTTTATGCTTTCAACCATGATGTATTCATCTATATCCAACTCAAAGGTTTTCCTTTGTTTCTTGGGTTGTGTTGTGTACTTAGAAAAGCATACCTGAGTGTACTTATTAATGAGTTTTCATAGATGAGCATATCTATGCAAGCAACACCAGAAACAGTTACCGGAATCCCAGGAGCTTCCCCTTGTGCCTCTCTTCCCAAGAATAATTACTATTCTAGTTTTCTGATAGCATAGATTGCTTTTGTTTAAGACATATATGTATTGTTATTTTGTTTGTTTTGTTTTGGAGCAGGGCTTCATTATGTAGCAAAAGCTGGCTTCAAACTCATGGTTCCCCCTACCTCAGCTGTAGTCAAAAGTTTTCTCTGGTCCTGCCAGGCCCTGCAGTACCACAGCTGCTTATAAAATAATCAGTCAGAGGCTTAATATTACTTACAAACTGTATGGCCTATGGCAGGCCTCTTGCCAGCTAGCTCTTATATCTTAAATTAACCCATTTCTATTAATCTATGTTTTGCCATGTGTCCCATGGCTTTACTGGTGTGCTGGCATGTCGCTCCTTGGGCTGCAGGCTGGTGTCTCCCCTGCCTTTCTTCTTCTTGTCTCTCTCTTCGATTTCCTGCCTGGCTATAACCTGACTTGCCATAGGCCAGAGCAGCTTCTTTATTAATCAATCATAGCAACACATATTCACAGCATACAGAAAGACCATCCCACAGCACTCAGCCTCCTGAATGCTGTAATTACAAGTGTCCATTCTTACACCCAGCTTGTGCTGCTCTTATATAGCTGCACTGTTTAATGCATCAAAGGATTTAATCAGTTCTTCCCATAGCAAAAAGTGTAGTATAAGCATTTGGGATAATTCTGAGCGCAGTGTTTTGAATAATGTCCCAACAACATTTTCTTTTTGGTGTTTCAGTGAACAGCAGAGAATTCCGAAGGATGTTGAGTATATCTGCAGGGCAGCTATTTCAGCAGGCATCATTGGCTGGGCATATGGAGGGATACCTGCTTTTATTTATGCTAAAAAGCGCTACATTGAGCAGAGTCAAGCGGAGATTTATCATAACCGCTTTGATGCTGTGGTGAGTATTGCTGGGCTAATAGGGATACACCGGTTTAACTATTCTCTTTATACTTCATTTTTGTTAGGTCTTGAGTTGGGAGGATGTTGGAATGTCAGGGTGAAGAAATTAGATCTATACTTAATACCATGGAGGTACTAATGCTAAAGTACCTAGATGAATTTTATGTTTCTTCAACTATAATTTTTTTTCTAGTTTGGCATCTAATGGTAGATTACATATTGAATTTGCCTCATGCCTCTTTAGAATCCATTAATCTTAAACAGTTTCTCTGTCAGTCTTGCCCTTGGGCAGTTTTAAAGATTATAGACCATTTGTAGAATGCCCCTCAGTTCAGATTTGCTTGATAGTTTCTGTCTTAGGGTTTCTATTGCTGTGAAGAGACACCATGACCATGACAACTCTTACAAAGGAAAACATTTAATCGGTAGGCTTATAATTCAGAGGTTCAGTCCATTATCATCATAGTAGGACATGGTGGCATGTAGGCAGATAAGGTGCTGGAGAAGGAGCTGAGAGTTTTACATCTTGATATGTAGGCAATAGGAAGTGGTCTGAGACAGTGGGCATGGCTTGAGCATGATAACTCAAGGCCCACCTCCACAGTGACGCACTTCCTCCAACAAGACCACACCCACTCCAACAAGACTTCATCTGCTAGTAGTGCCACTTCCTTTGGGGGTCAGTTTTCTTTCAATCCACCACAGTTTCTCATGATAAAATTCAGATTTATGAAAGGCAAAAGATTTATACGATCTGAAGAGAATCCCTCCACTTGGGTGGATCTCTGAGTTTGAGGCCATCCTGGTCTATAGAGTAAGTTCCAGGACAGCCAGAGCTACACAGAGAAATGCTATCTCAAAAAAAAAAAAATCTGATTTATGAGCCTAAAGATGCTTGCTGCCAAGCTGGACAACCTTTGAGCTTGATCCCCAGGATGGTGAGAAGGACCCTCTTAATGGTGTGGCACACTTACACACATATGAAGACAGACAGACAGGAGGGGAAGAAGACTTATGTTTGGCAGGAGTGCCCTAGAATTGATATTTCAGTACCTTGTATGAGAAGCATATCCTATTTGTTCTCTGACTCTTAGTTACTTGGGTAAGATAAGATCAGCCAGGTTCCTATAATATGAAATTACTATTGTTTTCCTTGTGAAGAAATAAGTATTTTACAGATTCTTATTAGAGACCTTGAGAGTTTGTAAATATCCCATTTTCATCTACCCTGTGCTCTTAGAATTCAGTTCATTCTTACTCGAAATGGTTTTTACTGTCATGATTGTCCAATGGCCTTTTTCTAATTCTAGCATTTTTTTTTTACATTTATTAGTTAGTGTTGTGCTAAGTAGCAGTAGTTACCCCATTATATTTATTAACTCGTCCATTTAATTAAATAATAACAATAATAAAAGTAATAATGAGTTGTTCTGAGAATCGTGTTGGGTAATTTTGTCATTATGTGAGTTTCAGAATGGACTGCACAAACTGGGACACCTATAAGTTCATAGGCCATCTTCTGGGAACACGTAGTTTATGTGATCTGCTCACATAAAAACACTCACTGACCAGAGTGTTGGTGTGAAGCACATGATTCTTACTTATAATTTGTTTCTATCTGTGTGTACTCAGAATCTCTTACTTATTCAGTAGAGTTATATTCCATTACTGTCCTTTGGTTTAATACTCCAGTTGGCTTGTATTTGGGAAAACTGGAACCCTTTTAGTAGTTCCCCTGCCCTTGAGATTTTTTATTTTTAAGAAGGGTCTTGCTTCGTAGTCCAGGCTGACTTTCAGCTCACAGTATTCCTGGCTGGCTCAGCTTTTACTCTTCTATTCCTGCTCTTGAATAGCCAACTCAGAGTTGGTTTTGGTTTTGTTTTAGACAAAGTCTCCCCACATAGTCCTGGCTGTTCTGGAACTTGCTATACAGATCAGGCTGGACTCAAACTCACAGAGATCCTCCTGCCTTTGCCTCCCCAGTGCTGAGATTTAAGATGTGCTCTATCACATCTGGTGGAACTAGAATTTCTGGAAGATTGGTATTTAGAAACCAAGACCTGAGTCCTTGGTGTACTCTACTCTTCCAGAGTATTACTGCTTTTAGACTGGACAGAGTTCCAGAGAGTTCCAGAGAGTTCCAGAGAGAGAGTTCCAGAGTTCCAGAGAGAGAGAGAGAGAGAGAGAGAGAGAGAGAGAGA